GTATATTTCGGCATATATAATAAATTACCGCACGCATATTTTTGATTGGCCAACGCATATATGCGGCCGCCCTAATTATCGTGAAAAAAAAAAAAAAAAAAAAAAAAGACGTATTTCAGCTATTCATGAGGAACATGGTTTTCAGAAATTTTCGTTTATGCGCAAGAATCAAATTGCATGAAAAAAGATTTCCGTTAAACAGGAGATTCACAACTTTACATCACAATTCCATTCCGAATTTTCAAAGTTCTGCTTCCATAGTTGAGAAGCGCCTCTTTTCGACTTCTCTAACGAGTTACAGCAATCAAAAAAAAAATGAAATCACCGATGAAAATGTAACATCAATCTCTCCGTCAGTGACTGCACAGGAGAGTGATGTATCCGTGAATAATGATGATGTGGTCGACGAATTATCAAACGTGGAAACAATCTTGGAACCAGTGAAAGAGTTGAACATGTTTATAGCTGCAAACAAATGTTTCCTCGAGTATGTGCATGATAGCACGGGGTTGCCGTGGTGGGCGACCATCATGCTTTCAACAATATTTCTTAGATCCGTGTTCACTCTTCCAATAGCAATTTGGCAACAGAAAAATGCTGCTCGTTTGTTAAATGCTCAGCCGAGGATAAACGGTTGGTTCGAAAAATTGAAACATCAGGTCGCGAGAAAGATGCGTAGTCAAGGTCGGTCTTACGAAGAATTTCAAGCGGAGTTACAGAAAAAGGTTTTTAGCAAAAAACGCATCTGCCTGCATACACCATACATGTATGCGTACGCATTGTCATCTAATTTGTGCATCGCGTGTTCCCATTAAAGTTTGAAGAAAAGATCAAACAAATACACCGCGAAATTAAATGGCATCCGTTGAAAAATTTCGTGCTCCCTTGGTTTCAAATTCCTCTCTTCATTTGCATGTCTTTTACCCTACGTGAAATGGTCAATAGGACCGGTCACGTCACCGCCGATGAGATTAATGATTTTGAGAATGGTGGCTTCCTCTGGTTTTCCGATCTAACTGCAGTTGATCCTACCCTGTTCTTCCCTTTGGCTATCGGAGCGACGAATTTATTTAATATCGAGGTATCTTGATTTCCCTTCAGTCTCGTCCGAATTACAAGGTGCTCAATGTTCGTTCATTCCCAGTTGCACAGGTGGACCTCGAGGGGTAAACCGAGCACCAGGCAAAAAGTAATAACTAATATCGGTCGCGGGTTGTCCATCATCATGGTCCCGGTTGCCACGAAGGCTCCGATGGTCGGTTGGTGATCCTCGCTTTTACTTTCTCGATGCAGTCGGTAGAAGTTTAACCGTATTTCTTTTTTTTTTCATTATTACCTGTTCAGGTGATATGTTTGTACTGGCTTACATCAAGTTGCTTCAGCGTGGTGCAAAATGTTGCTTTCAAAATACCATTGATTCAAAGAAGGTTAGGATTTCTTCCAAAGGTCGCGTGAAAAGATCACGTGGTGTTAATAAAGAGTGGCTTGCACAAGTGTTTAAAGGACTAAATCACGTGTTGAAATACTATCTCATTTTGTCTGTGGTACATAAATCACGTGTTGAAATACTATCTCATTTTGTCTGTGGTACATAAATCACGTGTGTAAACCCAAAAGCGATCACGCACAAGTTTGCCGAGATTTCACCGGCCAACCGTACACGATGAACTCTCTGACCGGGCTCCGTCTACTGCAGACATGGCCGAGGTGGTTTGTGGGGAGTAAAGTGTTATCGATAAGAACCTACAAAGATAAGCGAAAAACAATACCGCCTCCCCGAGGTAACCTCTCACATTTGCTGTTTCTGGTTCAGCCGAATTCTTTGCCCCGAAGATTATTAAATACCTGCACCTCGAATACATTCCACTCCCAAAGGTTCAATTGGCTCCCCTAAAGACTTCTTGAAAAGAATTGGTCGAGGATGCGAAGAAATTTCTGAAAAATTTAAAGTATATATACGATATATTGCTCGATTTTTTTGTCAACAGATGGAGGTTAAATCCGAGTTGATAATGCTTTATAGGATTGGGAACATCTGTTCACGGCGTCGAGTCACGAGATGAAGGCAGAAATGGGTTTGTCGACGAAACAAAGAAAGTCAGTAATCATGGTAACGTTGCGCGTGTGCCTCCTATAAGACACCGTTTATGACCTCTAACGAATTTCACCGCCATGCAAAAAAAAAAAAAAAAAAATACCAATAGATGGATTCTAGCTTGGACCGAACATTACAGGCACGGTGTTGACCCGTATAATATCCCAATTCGCACGAAAAAAAAAAGAAAATAAAAAAATAAATAGTAAACCTCGCTTAACGTTAGTTAAATTCACACATGTTTTGATCACGTGCTCGTACCAGAGAATACAAATAAAATGACGTGATACAACGTGCAAACTGAATAATTGGGATGATGACTTCGAATAGCGAGAGCACCTCTGCACAATCTTCTTCACTAGACCCAACTAATACAAATGGTTTCCCATTAAACAATTCAAATGACACGGGTGACCAAGAATTGAGTCCCGAAACTAGAGTCAATCTAATAAAGTATCGTGCTTTCACTGTCACTGCTATAATAGCATTTCTGTCGCCAGCAAAACATCTAACATGGTTGTTTCCTTTTACCCCGAAATACTCATTATGACGGAATTTAGAGAGGTCATAGAACTTCAAGAAGGTCTAAAAGGTATAAATGAACTATTCAACTTGGACTCTATGCCCCAACTTGCTAATAAAGAAAAATTTCTCTTTTCTGTTCTAAGCTCTTATACAAAAGGTGGAGTCGGTAAAAAACGAGCACGACCAACTGCAATCGGAAAATCAAATTCTACAAACTTATATCAATAATCTTATGTCATCCAATGTATTATCAGCGAATGGCGGAAAAAAAGAAGGTTGATGTATTTGGTATGCATAATCATATTTTGTATACACCACGGCCTTTAATTCATGGGACCATCTTAAATATGATTCCCTTTCTTCTCTCTAGTTTTATAGACTTCCATGGTCCACGTAATGGCAACATACAATTAAGCCTAATAACCATTGTAACTGTTCGCAGAAATCTTAAATGGATATTCGACTTCGACTCCTTTCTTTCTCCAAATTTTTTTCTTCTTTTTTGAAAGCACGTGTTCGACAAAGACCTCTTCACAGTGCTCACGTTTGAAGTCTCTAATGAAATTAGGATCCCTTTGATAATTCGACAATATAACATTATTAGGATCAGAGAGACTTTGATGTGTTCACTTATTTTTGATAGCTCACCATAATTCGGAAGCGATTCCCAGGTCCTTGCAGCATCTCATCAACGCATTACTCTTTGCACCTTCAGATGCAGTTGGTAGGCCGGTGGGATCAAAATATTCTTGCTCTCCACGAGCGACTGAAATAAGCCTAGATTACGCGTAATTCCAACTTTCGATAAATATCACATACTGTAACTCATTTACTAATGATTAATTTAATACATACTTACCTTCCACCAACAACAAGACAGTATTCTCTGGAAATATTTTTTGGATTAACAACAGCATCCCCACGTGGCGCAAGTCCCCATCCTAATCAAATAAAACCCGTGAGTCGTGAAAGAAATAATTTTGAATATCCACTTGGAGCGTACAAATACCTCCGGGTCCGAATGCTTTATTTAAAATGCGACGATACTTAATTTCCGGAAGATATATCATACCATCTAAATAAAATCGCTCAATTATTAAATTTTTCTCATTTTTATCGCACAACCTCTTGGACACAATCTACCAGGCTTGCATTCAATGTCTTCTATATTCACTGGAGCAAGCAGAATCTCACTAATCTCTTTGGGAAATGCATGGGTGGATAGTCCAAAAGTGGACTTGGTCCAGTCAGGTTCGTTCGAAGCTTTTGTGATCAGATCCAAAGGGGGTGACACTTTCTCTTGCTTTTGTTTATCCTCTTTTTTCGTTGGCGAAGAAAAATCTTGGGCGGGTTCAAATCCTGTGGGTGAAGTGTCCTTTGCAGAAGTTGAAAGCAACGCGCTTTCGCTTTCAACACTATCAAGATACGTGCCTTCAGTTCCGTGGGTGGAGTAGACACGTCCTTGTGTAAATACAGATATAATATTCACGTGTCCCTGAACAAACCAAATCTAAAATGTCAGTAAAACGCGACTTACTTCCACTCTTTGACGACGGAAATCAGTGAAGGTTTTTACCCTTATATATTTCTTCCTGAGATCTAAGACGCGAAAACCGGAAAGAGAAATTTCCTGTCGAGTTGCATTCAAAAGCAACCGTTGGAAGTTTATGTTCCTAATAAATGATGCCATCTTTCTTTTGTCGGTGAAATTTTTTTAAATGTGATCAGCAAGCATACAACTTGAAAACGATTTTGCACGTACACGTATAAATAAAAAAAAATTTTTTTATGTTAAGAATAATTTGTTACTTAAATATAAAATCTTTAGATAGAACAGAATCAAATATAAGAATTGGATCATGATATAGTTAAAGAATTCAATATCAACTTTTTTAGTTTCTAATTAGATTAATGCAAAGTAACATTTTTCTAAATATTAGAAGGAATCTTACAAGATAATAATTTCAAATAATTAAATTATTCAAGATTTGCAAAATCCAAAAGAACATTAAAAAATTCCAGGTTCAAGAGTTTTTTTTTTTTAAACCCATGGTCAGGCCAGCATTGTGTGTTTATTAATCATTAAAAAAAAACAATAGAGATATATAGGACAATTGCATCATAGTTAAACTAAATCTCATGCAAATTTACTTATCAACAACTTTTAATTCTCAAAAGAACTTTAGCTTCTAATTTAAATATTATTGCTAATAGATTATTACTCTCTATTATTCTTCAAGAAACTGATTTCAAGAAACTGCAATAGAAAAAGAAAAAAATAAAAAGAAAGGGGATATTTAAAAATATATAAATATACTTATATATCCTTCAAAGAATTTCTATTAAAAATCTCCTCTTATTAGAAATTAACTTTTTTATAATATTCTTCTTCTTCTTGACTATCTAAGAAAATTATCTATCTATAATCTTAATATTTTTTTGTAACTGTTTAAGATACTTATTGCTTACTTAAATTCAATATTCTGCTTGATACTTTCTTTCTTTTTAAATTAATTTTATATCTATTTACATAGAACAATGACTATAATAAATTTCTAATTTTTATATAGTCTTTTAATTATATAATATAACTTTTAATATTTTCCAACAACTATATCAAATTAAAAAAATTTTATTAATGATTATTTTTTATTACTCAAAAAATTAAATTTACTAATAATCTTTTTATCTTGTAATAGTAAATGAGTTTTAATCAGATAGGAATTTTTATTAATTATAATATTATTATATAATATCTAAGAAAATACTTTCTCAATTCTAGAAAAAAAAAATAACTCTCAATTTTTTAATTTTCAGTCTTATGGCCTAACTGAAATAAAAATATAATTTTTTTTTTATACTTTTTCTAATTGGAATAATAAAAAGTTAAAAATCTCAACTTAAACAAATAATCATTTTTTATCATCTAAAAAATTAAATACTTATTCTAATAATTATATAATTTTTTTCTTTAATTATATTTTATTTAGAGAAGTAAAAGAAATCATATACTATAAATAATTTCTTTTTTTTTTATCAATGACATTTATTATCAAAACATATGAATATAATTTATAATAACTTATTTATATCTTATTATCAATATGCTTAATATTAATCAATTAAATATTAAGTAATATTATACTATCAAAAATTTAAGATCTAACTAAAACAGGCAAATTTCTTAAAAAATTTGTAAAAAATAGTAGATATTCTAATAAAATTAAAGATAAATATATATTAAAGATAGGTAATAAAAAAATTCTAACTCTTTCTATCGATTCTCTAATTATACACAAAAAAGATGTTTGCAAGAAGTTTTTTTACTTTTTATTAATAAAGTCTTAATACTTTTTATAAAATAACTTAAAGTTTGACTTTAAAAATTGGCTTTATACTTTTTTTATTGTTTACAAGTCTCTTTACCCAAAAACTTGACTTTTAGTAATTAAAAAAAATCAAGTAATATCTTTGATATCAATAGCAAGAAAGTTTTCAAAAGAAGAAAAATTAACTGTGAAATACTTAAAGGCCCTTTTAATCTTTGAAGTAGAAGTTTTACAGAGGTTTTGTTATAGTTAAAAGACATATTTTCTCTTTTTAAACTGTTCTAGCCCTCTTAGAGCTTTTACTTTTATGGTTTTTTAGAGAATTTTATCTATCTCAATGTGACTTTGAATTTTTAATAATACAAATCCTCACCAAAGATGATTAATTAATATAAAACATTTTAGTTTCTAAAATATAAACAAACTCCTATTGGTTATACTCATATGTTTTGATAATGTTATTAATAATTAGAAAGAATGTTTCAAAATATTTGCCTTCAAAAAACTCAAATTCCTTAATAAAGACTTCTATAATATCAAAAAATCAAGTAATAAATAATGTGAATTGCAAACTTCAATCTCTTACTTAAGTTTCTCAGGTAGTGACAAAGTTTTAATAAAAAAAATCAAGATCTAAATACTTTCCTTAAAATATTTTAATTCAATACCCACTTAAATAAAAAATCAGTTGAATTGACTTGTTTAATGTTACAAGTAATAAAAAAAGTATTTCTTCTAAGATTCAAGTGAAGCAAGAAGACTATTTTAATTAAATAGATTCCTTTTGAGAAGAAGTTGTTTTTATTTTTAGATTTTTTTAAATTATTTCCTTTTCCTTTTTAACTTAGCAATTCATTGGTTTTTAAATCAATCAATAGTAACAAACTGTTAGCAATAATTCTGATATATAGAGATTATTATCAATTTATTAAGATAATAATAGGTTTCTAAAGTATTTAACATATAAAATTTTATAGATCATTTATGTTCCTTTTTGAAAAACAAAATTTATAGTTCTTCACTTTAATAAGAACAAAAGTCAGAAAATACTATAAATCAATAATTTGGATAATAAAAAACAATTGTAAATAGTTTTTTTATAATTATTCATTTAAAAATTTTAATGTTACTTAGTAAGAAACATTTGATTTTTGTTCCTGTCTCCTTCTTTAGGGATTTATCTTTAATCAAGGGAATATAATATTGTTCTCAAAATCTGACTTAAAATACTTATATATAAAAACAAGTTAGTCATTTGTGAAAGTCTATAAATTATTATAGATTTTGTTTTAATTTCTCAATAAAGATAAACCATTATTGCATAATTATTTTTTTTTTACACTCTGTCAGGCTAATTATGTGTGCTTTATTAAACATTAGTATACTATACATGTAAAATGAATCGCTAAAGCTAAATC